GAAGGGGGAGGACAACTTAGCCATAGGCAATCGCACCGGAAGTGGGTTTGGGTACCTGTCAAATTCAGGTACCCGTTCCCCAAAGGTGCCAATCCTTAATGGGGGAGCGGGGGACAAAGCCCTAAAACAACTTCCCCTTTTTGAGTGGAGCTCCGCTTTAACAGGCTCTGCTTCCTGCTTTGCAGCACTTCACAATGAATATGCCTTGCTGAGACTCTTTGTGGTCCCTAATGGCGTAAAACACCCACAATGCCCTTGATAGACACATACTGTGATTTTGGAATTTTTTTTTTTTTTAGCCCAAAACTAATAATGTGATTCAGTGATGTCTGTATGGACCTCACTGATTTGCATGAAGAGTTAATTTTAATAAGTCCTTTTAATAAGGAGACACTTGAATGGACAGTGACAGAGTCTGTTTAGGATCAGTTCAGATCTGTGCATGCGTGTTTACACATGCCTGTCCCGGGTAGGGTGGCCCATTCATTTCAATTGGCTGCCCTACCTGTGAGAAATGCAGGGAAAGAAGTCCCCGACCATTTTTTTAAAATTGTGCCGCAGTGCTATGCAGTTTGTGGCACATGAAAACATGCCACGGGTGCCGATGCGTGAGGGGTCCATTAAGAATGAATGCCACCCCTGAGCATATGGTAAAGTGTGATGTGTTTTTCTGTGGGTGGGGAATGTGATGCATTCCCCACCCGCAAAGATGTGATGCATTCCCCACCCGCAAAGATGTGAACCTAGACTTAAAGATGATGTTTAATCTGCCTAATTTTTGGCTTCCTTGGCTCATATCCCCCTTCCCACCACCCCTCAAATAAAAAAAAATGGCTGGTGGAAGGGGCTGTACATAGCCTAACAAAAAAGCTAGTCACCTGTGAGATTGTAGCCCTCCACACAGAGTTCAGGGGGTCAGGAATAAATAATGCACAGAGGACGGGTGGCAGGAGTGTATTTCTCACAAAGGAGGAGGAGGTTTGGACCCAGGGTTGTCACCTCATCCCTTTAAAACTGAACACATATTAATTACACAGATTCTGAGGCTAATCTATTACAGATGAGGCACTAAGTTTAATTAACCACCTAAGCAGCCACAGAACCTGTGTAATTAATATGTGTTCATTTATAAAGGGATGAGGTGGCAACCCTATTTGGACCCCCCTATCCCCCTCCCTATCTATGCTCCTGGTGGTAGGGTTTAAAATGTACACTGAGACCCAGAGATCTAAGAACCTGAAAGAGACTGGTGAGATACTGAGGACAGGGTACTGTTATTGTTAAAAGTTAATTCTCTGCACTGCTGCCCCCTCTTCCCTGACGTTTATCCCCAGCACTGGTCCCTACATATGTACTGACTATGGTGACAGCTGTCCTCCTACCTGTCCTTGATTTAGACTTTATGTAAAGGTCAATGACAGTAGGTCACCAAACTTGTCCAGTGCAGGAATCCCACCAATTAGGTCCCTGTGGGATAGTAGAGACTGTCCGGGGGTTTTCCTTTCCAGCATTTACCTAAAATTTTAAATGGCTCCCTACTTTCCTTCAGATCTGATGGGGTTTTTTGTAAAGCTCTTTTTTTTTTTAGGGTGAATAGACATCTGTTTTCCATTTACTTAAACCGTCCAAGCTACGACGTTCTCAAGCTGTTCTTTACTTTAATCATTCCCATGTTATGTTTAACTTTAATCCCTCCGATCAGGAAAACAGAAATTGGTCTTCTGTGATGTTGGATTATCGACTCATCTGGTCAATGATCTATACACGAATAAATTAAAAAAAAAAAGGATTATGCACAGTATCTATATGTGGTTTGTCGTGTAAAGGTCACGTTTACAACCTCCCATCCCGCCATCTTGAATGCTGTACAGATCCCCCTCTGTCATCATGGTGGGGGATGTGGGACAGCTGTGAGGGTCTGCACATTCTCACAGCCCACCTAAAACTTTGTGTTTGACAAGCTGGAGTTCTACGCTGAGCCCCCTTTTCCGGAGATTTCCCATCTATATCTCTGTCTGCACAGCTGTGTAGTTGGACCAGCTGTATCCTGTAAAACGAGGGCCCCCCGAATTATAGAAAGACAAATCATTCCACGGTGGAAGGGCGAGGTGTGGAGAATCCAGTGTGAAAATAGCAGCTTGCAGCGAAGGCCATTAAACCAGAGAGGTCCCCGCTGTGATGTGACTGAAGGACAAGGAATCTGGCGTATTTAATGGTCTTTTTTTCCGTCTCCCCAAATTGGGTCACGGTGTAAATATAGCTGGCCCAGCAGCTGTTCTTGACCTGAAATTCCCAGATAGGGCGATGGCATGACTTGCAGGCAAAATGAGACAGCCTTGTGAGGTTGGTGAGAGTCCGTGACAGAGGTGGCTCCACAAATACAGCTACACATATCGCTTTGTGTCAGTGACCTGCACAAATATACAATTCTGCAAATGGGCCAATCTTGAGATCCAAGCACCCTGCCAGACAGCACAGCCAGATCCTCAACCTCCAGTTCAGCATATGAGTTGAGCCTGGTGCTCACTGCCCACCGGGGAGGAGAACTCAGACAGAGACCAGGAGTTGTGGCAAAGTATTTTAACATGAAGGTATTGCAGAAGTATAACAGAGGCTGCATACATGACCACAGCGTGCTGGAGCACTTGATATCCAAATATACACTATATTTCCAAAAGTATTGGACCGCCTACCTTTACACGCACATGAACTTTAATGGTCCCCCAGTCCTAGTCCGTAGGGTTCAGTATTGAGTTGGCCCACCCTTTGCAGATATATCAGCTACCCATATAACTCAATCTGTCCGAACTCCAGTTTAGAAATCTTCAAATGTGCTCCAATTCCAGAGTGGTAATCCACCACCGTGCAAACAAACACAAAAGGGGCTTACCAGAGAGCCATGACCTCCTATTATAGAAAAGTTAAATTGCACCTGAGGAAACCAAATGCAATTGGACACTATCACTTCTCCTAGAGATGTCCCTCAATCCATCATATACACTATATTGCCAAAAGTATTGGGCCACCTGCGTTTCCACGCACATGAACTTTAATGACATCCCAGTCTTAGTCTGTTGGGTTCAATATTTAGTTGGCCCCGCCCTTTGCAGCTATAACAGCTTCAACTCTTCTGGGAAGGCTGTCCACAAGATTTAGGAGGGTGTCTATGGGAAGGTTTGACCATTCTTCCAGAAGCACATTTGTGAGGTCAGGCACTGATGTCGGGGGAGGAGGCCTGGCTCACAGTCTCCGCTCTAATTCATCCCAAAGGTGTTCTATGGGGTTGAGGTCAGGACTCTGTGCAGGCCAGTCAAGTTCCTCCACCCCAAACTAGCTCCTCCATGTCTTTATGGACCTTGCTTTGTGCACTGGTGTTCATTCATGTTGGAACAGGAAGGGGCCATCCCCAAACTCTTCCCACAAAGTTGGGAGCATGAAATTGTCCAAAATGTCTTGGTATGCTGACGCCTTAAGTGTTCCCTTCAAGCCCAAACCATGAAAAACAACCCCACACTATAATCCCCCTCCACCAAACTTTACACTTGGCACAATGCAGTCAGGCAAGTACTGTTCTCCTGGAAACTGCCAAACCCAGAAATGTCCATCGGATTGCTTTGCATTGCACTTGGTGATGTAAGGCTTGGATGCAGCTGCTCGGCCATGGAAACCCATTCCATGAAGCTCTCTACACACTGTTGTTGGGCTCATCTGAAGGCCACACCAAGTTTGGAGGTCTTTAGCTATTGACTCTGCAGACAGTTGGCGACTTCTGTGCGCTTCAGCATGCGCTGACCCGCTCTGTCATGTGACGTGGCCTACCACTTGGTGGCTGAGTTGCTGTTGTTCCCAGTTGCTTCCACTTTGTTATAATCCCACTAACAGTTGAGCGTGGAATATTTAGTAGCCAGGAAATGTCACGGATGGACTTTTGCACAGGTGACAACCTATCACGGGACCACGCTTGGAGTCACTGAGCTCCTGAGAGCGACCCATTCTTTCACCAATGTTTGTAGAAGCAGTCTGCATGCCTAGGGGCTTGATTGTATACACCTGTGGCCATGGAGGTTATTGGAACACCTGAATCCAATGATTTTGATTGACAATACTTTTGACAGTATAGTGTATATATAAGCAGACCCCAACGGGTACCTGAAACAGGCTACTATCCAGAGCACAATGTTAGTCCCTAGTCTGTCCCTCCTCCACAGGAACCTGTTCCTAAGCTAAGTGATCTGTCCCAAGCCAGTGGGGGTTCTGTCCCTGACCTAACCACTTGCAAAATGTGCACCAACCAAAGGGGGATAGTGCTCCTTATTAGCACTGCCCACACTAAAGATGGCTGCTGGGGTCAGCCAAGGCAGCAGCATCCAATCGGACAAGATTTCCCCTGATGACACCTCCGAAGGCCTTAGAGTAACAGGGGTTTCCCATTGTCCTCTACTCCCTCGGCACGGCGGTCACTGCACAGCAACCCCCCTTGCAAGGAGGCCAAACTACACCAGCCAACAAGCAGCAACAGTGCTTGGTCAAGACCACACCTCCAACCTGTTGATTGGATAATGGGATAGCAGAAGCCATCAACCTGGATTCCCCTCCTATCAGCATGTTCCCTGCCAGCACATGTGCATGCAGCAAAGCCTGGTTGACTCCTTGTGTTGCCCCTCCCTCTCTCCCAGTCTGCTGTACAGGGAATGTGAAGGCTGATACAAAGACACATTCTTCGTACAATCTCATTGGATCCCACTCACACCCGTGCAATTTATTGAGCGTTGCCCATCGCAGTTTATTGCTCAAGGGGATTCCTATTCTTCACCTCTGCGCTGCCATGTATTGGGAAAAAATAGTATGTGGTGTTTTGGTGAATCCACATGTGGTTTTTGGTCCCATAGACTTCAATGTAAAATTAATTTTATCACATCCCCCACCCCCCAAAAAGAATCAGCTGATTATCCAAGAGTCAAAGATTACTGTGCCACTCTCATCCGAATAAAGTGAAAGGATCCAAATCAATTCGGATCATTCGTTATGTCTTTTTGTTATTTTGGATGCTTCAAGCATTTAGGGCCAGTGTATTTTTGATGCGTTTTACCGCGTTCCAGTACAGTTCTGTGCACAAAAAAATGCAGCCTGTTCTACTTTTTTTTCTGCAACCAGAACGCACTGGAACTGCAAGCACTGATGTGAACTATGACCCTGACAACCATATCACCTACTTTCTGTGCGTTTTGGATGCAGAAAAAAGCAACTGAAACTCATGCAGTGTGAACTGCCCGTAAGAAACACAGTCCAAATGCGTTTCGGATGCGTTTCCACATGCGCGTTTTTGATGCATTCCAGTGTGTTTTTATGCATTCCAGTTCATTTTTTCCCCCTTTTTTTCTTCAATTTAAATAGGGATGTGTGCTTTCCAGTGCGTTTTTTTATGTGTTTTACTGCTTTCAGTACAGTTCTGTGCACAAAAAAATGCAGCCTGATCTACTTTTTTTCTGCATCTGGAAAGCACTAGAACTACAAGCAGAAAAAAAGCAACTCAAACGCATGTAGTGTGAACTGGCCCTTAAGGTAACTGAGTTTGCTGGGTGCTGGAGGGTCTATTCATGCTGGCTGCTGGGGGATCTGTTGTCACTGGTGGGGATATTTTTTGTGTGAGGGTCTATTGTTGCTGGTGGGATCTATTGAGGTTCCCGACTGTTGGAGGGACTATTTAATGCTGGGGGATCTGTTGTCACTGGTGGGAATATTTGTGTGAGGGTGTATTGTTGCTGGTGGGGATCTATTGAAGTTGTTGGCTGCTGGAGGGTCTATTGATGATGGCTACTGGGGGATCTGTTGTCACTGGTGGGGATGGTTTTGTTTTGAGGGTCTATTGTTGCTGGTGGGATCTATTGAGGGTTCTGACTGTTGGAGGGACTATTGATGCTGGCTGCTGGGGGATCTGTTGTCACTGGTGGGGATATTTTTGTGTGAAGGTCCATTGTTGCTGGTGGGGATCTATTGAGGTTTCCGGCTGCTGGAGGGTCTATTGATGCTGGCTACTGGGGGATCTGTTGTCACTGGTGGGGATGTTTTTGTTTTGAGGGTATATTGTTGATGGTGGGATCTATTGAGCTTGCTGGCTGCTGGAGAGTCTATTGATGCTGGAGGATCTGTTGTCACTGGTGAGAATGTTTTTGTGTGTTGAGGGTTTGTTGTTGGCGGGATCTATTGAGGCTGGCTGCTGGGGGATACATTGTCACTGGTGTGGATTTTTCTAAGTGAGGGTCTATTGATGCTGGTGGGGATCTATTGCGGTTGCTGGGGAAGTTTTACGTGAGGGTATATTTATTGCTAGCGGGGATCTATTGAGGTTGCTGGCTGCTGGAGGGTCTATTGACGCTGGCTGCTGGAGGATCTATTGTCACTGGTGGGGATATTTTTGTGTGACGGTCTATTGTTGTTGGTGAGGATCTATTAAGGTTGCTGAGTGCTGGTCTATTGATGCTTGCTGCTGTGAGATCTGTTATTGCTGCTGGGGGTCTATTGTTGCCGGGGTGGTATTTTGTTGTAGGTGGTCCATTGTTGCTGTGTGAGAGGTCTATTGTTGTGTGAAGGAATCTGTTGTTGCTGGGGGATCTGTTGTTGCTGTAGAATCTATTGTTGCTGGGGGGGATCTATTGTTGCTGGCTGCAGAGAATCCATTTTACAGCTTTTCTTATTATTAACAAATTCCATACAAATTACGTAGCACCACAAAATGATACTTGGTTCTGTATTACTAAAAGGGGCGGCACTGGGAGGTGGGTAGGGGGTGGAACCAAGGGAAGGTGCTCAGAGGAAGGTAGGTGGCAGAGGCCATGGGGGGACTCAGAAGGGGGAAGTTCCTGCACCTATTCTCTGAGAAAAAATCCCTGCGTATACAATATACAGTAGTTATTGGTAGAAATTGAACAATCAGATTGTAACGTGTAGCCAGCTTTAGAGATGTCAACTCTTTCCTTCCTTCCTCTTCAATGTATAGAATTCTGGAGAGATGGAACGTTGGAGTAAAATGCAGAACAATCATAATTTGGACATTTATTAACCACTTGCTTGCCATCCCTATAGCAGAAATACTGCTACAGAGCAGCAGGGCTGCGCAAAATTACCTTCATATATGTGATTTCCATTTCTGGGTAGGGGGTGAGTGCGCCGCCCTGCCCGCTCCGCAATTGGTGGCTAGGCATGTCAATCACCGGGTCCCGGATGGAGATTCCCCACTGGCACCTGGCGATCGCCGTGTAAAGCTGACGGGAGAGGTTTGAGTGTAAACAACACAGGTCTCTCTGCTGTCAGCAAGGACATGCTGCTTTGTATCTCTCTGCATAGCATGTCTCCCTAATAAAACACACACAGTAAGGGGCGGACTGACCATTCGAGCACTCAGGCATTGCCCGAGGGCCCGGGGTCAGTAGGAGGCCCCATGAGATGCCCCTGGTACCTTTCATTGACTGTTTCATAGGCTTTTTTGGTGTGGGCGAGGACACAGGGGCCCCATGATCCCCTATTGCCCGGGGGCCCCATGCGTTGTCAGTCTGCCCCTGCACACAGCTAACCCTTTCATTTCCCAAAAGTTAAACCCCTTCCTGCCCAGTGCCATTAGTACAGTGTCAGTGCTTTTTATTACCACTGTATTGGTGTCACTGGGGATGTCAGTGACACCAAGTCAGTTCCCCCCCAGTGCCAGAATGTCCGCCTCAGTCCCACATGTTTTATAGCAAAAAGTCAAAAATATTGTTTTTTTTTTTTTCAAAATTGTATTTTTTTGTTTATAGCACAATAAATAAAAAACACAGAGGCGATCAAATACCACCAAAAGAAAGCTCTATTTGTGGGGGACGTAATATTAATTTGGGTGCAGCATTGCACGGCCGCGCAATTGTCAGTTAAAACAACACAGCGCCGTATCGCACAAAATGACCGGGTCAGGAAGGGGCGGAAATCCTCTGGAAGCCCCTCATTGCCCTCTCCAGACTGCCAGGAGAAGAGACCTCCTTGGCCATTGCAGTACCTCCATAATGTACACTAGGGGGCACATGACACTGTCATCGTAGAATACTGGACCCTCTCATTGTTCCTTGGCCGGGTCCCATCAGAGGCAAATTCCAGTCTGCATTCAGCTGGGACTGGGCTAGTCTGGAAATTTCACATCCGATAAAATCATCTTATCTATCCCCTAATAAAATGAACTTTCTTCAGTACTGAACAATGGCATTCTGACATGCAGCAGCGACACGCTTTAACCCCTTCCGCTCTGTGCTGGTAGGCGCTCTTCAGCGTCGGCCGTTCCCACCATTCCCCAGCTCGCTGCCATCCTGCTGTGTAATCTCTGTTCTGTAGTGGGGTATACACAGTCCCTATCAGGGCGGACTGACAACTCATGGGGCCCCCAGGCAATAGGGGATCATGGGGCCCATATGTCCTTGCCCAAACAAAAAAACCTATGAAAAAGGTACCAGGGGCATCACATGGGGCCCCCTACTGACCCCGGGCCCTCGGGCAGTGCCCAAGTTTCCAAATGGTCAGTCTGCCCCTGGTCTCTATACAATTACGGTACATTGAAACCTCAGAAGAGGGGTTACTTTAAAATACAGCGAATGAAAAAAAAAAATAAAAACATTTAAAAAACAAAAACAGGAATAGGGGCTACCTTAGGTGGCTGGTCACATGACCCAAGCCGAGGCATTGACTGTGTAATCTCTGTTCACTAGTAGGATCTTAGGGAGCTGGCATCAAGAGACGACCAGGGGCGCACTGACAACTCATGGGGCCCCCCGGCATTAGGGGATCATTGGGCCCCTGTGTCCTTGCCCAAACTCAAAAAAGCCTATGAAAAAGGTACCAGGGGCATCTCATGGGGCCCCCTACTGACCCCGGGCCCTCGGACAGTGCCCGAGTTTCCAAATGGTCAGTCCGCCCCTGGAGACGACTCAATTAGTCATGTGACGGGGGCACTGCCAGACACTCCCAGAGACTGGCACTACACCACAATACCAGTATTCCAGCAGCAGTCAATTTTTTTTTTTCCTCCATGGCCTGAACTGGAAGGGGTTAAAGTGTTACTAAACCCACAACAGTACAGTCTGTATACGCAGTAAAGCATGCTTGTTATACTCACTGTGGAACCGAAGGGGTTAATCTTCCGCATTGTGTAAAAATGCTGTTTGATCCTGTCTCTGATCCTCTCCTTCTTCCAGTGCCCCCCACTTATCTCCTGATGAGACATATCGAGTGGAGTCACTCTTCACATGCTCAGTTTGGTGTGTATTGCTAGAGAGGTTTTTTTTTTTTTCTTGGGAGAGTGCATTTGATCAGCACAGGGCCAGTCAGCACTGTCCATACAAACATCAGGGGTTCTACATTCTACTAGAGCAGAATGAAAATTCCTCCTACAAGATTTAACCAGTGCTCTGCTGGACCCTGATATTATTATTATTATTATACAGGATTTATATAGAGCCAACAGTGCTCAGCGCTTTACAATATAAAGGGAGACAATACAGCAACAATACAGTTCAATACAAGAGGGATAGGAGGGCCCTGATCCTTGGAGCTTACAATCATACGTGGCTGATGAGAAAAAAGGTATTTCTATTTACTAAAATGATTGCATTTCCATGTTGTGTGTACTGTGGGAGACCGGATATAGTGAATGCGGGGGTCCGGGGTGACCGGATATAGTGAATGCGGGGTCCGGGGTGACCGGATATAGTGAATGCGGGGTCCGGGGAGAGCGGATATAGTGAATGCGGGGTCCGGGGAGAGCGGATATAGTGAATGCGGGGTCCGGGGAGAGCGGATATAGTGAATGCGGGGTCCGGGGAGAGCGGATATAGTGAATACGGGGTCCTGGGAGACCGGATATAGTGTATGCGGGGTCCGGGGAGAGCGGATATAGTGAATGCGGGGTCCTGGGAGACCGGATATAGTGAATGCGGGGTCCGGGGAGAGCGGTTTATAGTGAATGCGGGGTCCGGGAGACCGGATATAGTGAATGCGGGGTCCGGGGAGAGCGGTTATAGTGAATGCGGGGTCCGGGGAGAGCGGATATAGTGAATGCGGGGTCCGGGGAGACCGGAAATAGTGAATGCGGGGTCCGGGGAGACCGGATATAGTGAATGCGGGGTCCGGGGAGACCGGATATAGTGAATGCAGGGTCCGGGGAGACCAGATATAGATTCATCTATATAGATGTTTTTGCAATGTGCAGCAAACCCCCCCCCCCCCCCCAATTACCTGAGGCTGATCTTCATCCAGCAATGTGCACAGGAGCCTCGGATGTCCCGGGCTTCCTCTCCTCATTGGTGGAGACAGCAGTGGGAGTGATTGGCTCACAGCCAGTGAGCCATGGAGGAGAGAACGGGGACAGGGCCAAGCCATGGTTCTACAGTTTGTGTCTTATGGACGCATAGAGCCGGGCTCGGCAGCAAGCACACGCCAGTGCCCCCATAGCAAGGCATTTGCTGTTTGTTGCACTGGTCAAGAGGGAGGAGCCAGGAGCACCGGTAGGGGGCCCAAGAAGAAGTTGGTCAATCAGCTCTGTGAAAACCATTACACAGAGCAG